ATAACCTGCTTTTTCTTCTCTCCTCCGTTTTTATGGATTTTTATACATGTATAAATTAGCCTAGTACCTCTTGAACAAGCCTGCTAATTGATGTATTGGAATAGTTATCTAGTGACAATAATACTGATAATTATGATAATGGTACTTCACAGTGATTACGATGATATGATCTGAGAGAACAGGGTACCACTGCATGAGATGGAGAGATAGGCTGGCACAGACGAAGTAGCCTTGTGGTGCAGAACCACAGAGGCATGAGGATGGATGGGTTGTTAAACTGGGCTAAAGTGTTGTGAGAGAGAGGGGTTGCCACGGTTACAGCTTCAGCACCACCTGCCAACTGGGACCACAGACTGAATGTGAGTAAGCTCATCTGGCTGTGCAGTGCCTAAAGGAAGCTGCTGCTCCGCAACGCCGCGATGCACGCGGTGACCGAAAAGAGGTCCCATGCTTACTAAGCATGAAAAATGCTCAGCACACATAGCTATGGAGTGCAACACTTGTAGTATCTGTGGCACCAGAAGCCTCAGCTGAAACTCTATTGCCTGCTGAAGTCGGGGTCTGAGCCAGTTAACTGGGTTGCATCTGGTGCCAAAGGCAATGCCAAGAGAGAGGAAAACAGGAAGAGAGCCCAAACAGAAGCACAGTTATGTGTCAAAGAGGGAGTCCAAGCATATGAATGAAAGCGTCTGGGAAAGCCTGACTGTCTTTTCTCCCCGCTGCTTGTCCTTAGATGTCAAAAGTAATTGATTTGAACACTTCAGGGAGCAGGGGCGAATATAGAGGTTTGAGTGACTTCACAAATCCCCAGGGTGGAGGGTGAGGTGGTGGCGTGCACAGTTTGGTATGTGATCATAAATTCAGAGCACAGGTGGATCATTCCACAATCAGTGACCTTACCTAACAAGAGTCAGCAATAACGACACTGACTGCATGCAGGTCAGCATTGTGGCAAGTAGAAAACACATAATTTCATTAACCTGGTGATTGTGAGGTCAACTGTACTCGAGGGTTGTGTCAGACGTAGGCATCTGTCAAGGTTTGTCATCCCAGAGTCCACTCAGCTTGATCAGACACCTGCACGTGCCTTCCAGACGGGTGTGGTGAGGAGTGGACTGAAGAGTGACAGCCGTGAAAATAGGGTGTATGATTTGGAGCAGGCAGAAGACTTGTCATGTTGCAGAGAAAGAGGCTTTCTCTGGACTCCAAAGTATTGAGGTGGTGAGACAGCAAGACTACATACAGTGTGGTCTATTAAACATGAAATACAAGTATGAGACAAGAGAGCGAACGCAGATGGGGTATCAAAGCGGAGCCAAAGCCCTTGGCTTAGAGAGGCTGATTGCTACAAGTGCAATCAGAATATTATGAACACTAGAAGTCTCATAAAAGAAGCACGAGCTGGTTTGTGCTAAACTGCTAAAAAAAAAAAAAACAAAAAAAAATAAAAAAGAAAAAAAAAGTAAAACACTTAAGAAGAAAAAAAAGCAACAGGAAGGTGATCACAAACCTGCTTTTCTACACAAAATTCAATCAAGGTTATTTTACGGTAACAATAACTGAAAAATCAAATCTTGCTGTGCAGATGGCTGAATAATCCAAAGATCACGCCAAGCAAAAAATTGAGGTATACGGCACTTAATCATTAAAAAAAACATCATAAAAGAGAAACATAATTACACTTGCACCCCACATTTCCTGGCTTTCCACGCTATTCATTTTCCCTTTAGAGTGAAGCGGCTTTGAGCTGTTTTCCTTAACTAACATGTATAATTATACCTTCAAATTAGATGCAGTCTACTGAGTAACTGAGTCTGTCTTTAGACAATAAATACAGCGTTAAACAGCTTACAGCTACATCGCGCTCTAAAACCAGCCTGTTAAATCTGACTATATCAAAACACTTGCTTCTCTTGCCAAAGGAATAAAACTCATGCATTATACATTGGGCCTCTGCTACACATACGCTGCATACTGGTGGTTGGTACACACCCATTGGCATGTTTCTAATCAATACTGCGTCCTACAGCCACAAGTAAGAAGAAATATTTCGGTTCACTTGATGAATAGCAGAGCTGCAGGCAGATATGAATATTACCAACCATTTTTTAAGCAACATATTTTATTTTACATACATTTTACAGAGTACCTGACCCACACACTCAGCAAACCCATTCCTCCCCTCTGAGCCCTTCAGCCGCTCCCTTCTTTTCCTCTCCCGTCACTGTAAAGCAGGAGGCTGTTTCCATGGCAACCCACGTCATTAAATGGACCTGATGTGCTTTCATTCACGGTGACAAGAAGAAACATGCTGACACTCGCAAGAAGCAAACACATCAGAATCGATTCATACCAATGACCAGCTGATAAAGCTGGATAAGTGCACAGAGGCAATCACACCCAGCCGGTGCACCCCGGTGTGTGTGAATGACAAAGGCAGCCGCATGCTGGCACATGTGGACAGAATAAAGATACATCTGACAGTATACTGTAACATGATTTACTACAGAAGTATTTCAACAGCATGCTGTACTACAGTGCTATCATATTGGAGTTATGATATCATTCACCGATTATATAATTTATCTTTATTTACACCTTTTCCTATAAATACTTTAATTGAATTGGTTAAAATACTATTTTATTCTATCTAACATCTTAAAACTGGTGAGAAATTCTCTACAGCACATTATAAAGTAGTCAAATATAAGGTGAAGTGCTGCTTCTATAAATCCTACCTAAATAATTTAAACTCAGTTGTCTCATATAGCCATTCGTTATATGTTTATACACCAACATCCTGTTCACAGGAGGAGCTAAAGATATTGACAAATACATCAAAATGAGCAGATGGAGACTGCATTTTTCTGCCAAGACTGTCAATTCCCTCCTTCCCACGAATGGGTTTAGTCCCTGGATCAACAAGAATTACTGGTCCCTCTAAGCCTGTCATTTTTTCTTAAGATAATCAAAATGATGTGTCTCGATTTTTCTTATTTTAATTTGATATGTATTTGTGAAAAAATGACAAGAAATGAGGACTGCGATGATTGACAATATCAGTATCAGTTCAGTGACCGTGATAATGATGTTACTGCAATGTCGAAAGAAAAGAAAATAATGATATCAGTCAAATTCTGGTGTTTTCTGGTCAATTAAACACAAAATACAATTGCAGGAGACAGTCTTTAGCAATACCCAGTCACTCAGTTATTTAGAATAATATCAGAATAATAGATGAATGACTGGAATCATTTCCATTTTATTTATTTATTAGATGGCATTTCAGCTTTTAAATATCACAGTTACACGTTTTCTGTATTAGTAATCATGAAACTGGTGTGTGGAAAATGTCCAATTTTGCCCTATCTCACAGTGGCAATCCAGATCCAGATTCGGATATGGATCATTTCCAAAAGTTAATCACTTCTAAGTTGGGTCCCAGCTGTGATAAGATTTTCATGAGTAATTGTGCAAACTAACAGATAAACCGAATGATCACATAACCTTCTTGGCATCGATATGACTGTGTTTCTATGTAACCCTAACAGTGTGTTAGAAATAATTGAAGCATCAAATGGAGCAAAAAGGAAAAGACAAACAGGTAATTTAAAGCAGTTAAATAGACTGCCTGACAGACTGTTTGTTACCTTCTCAAGTGTCGGCTGTCTGTAATGCCAAAGGTGTGTTTGTCTACGCCCAATCTATGTATCTGCCTAAGCATTTAAAGCAATGTGTGAATCCATCCATTCTCTTCTGCTTATCCTTGTGATGAGCAATGTGTGAATACTTTGTCAAATCAATATCTTCTCAGTGTTATCACTTTATAATAAGACCACCACTCCAGGCTTGTCAACTTAAATTAGCTCGGTGATATCAAACAATCGGGGTTATATCTGGAGTAGGTCAGCTCTGTCTCCAGATTAATTGATTTTCTGAGGTGACTGGTGCAGCCTTCAAAGCATGGGAGGATGAGAAAAATCAATTACCAAACAAGTCAGAATTCAATAAGTCGGGGGTGGTTGGTGCAGGTATCGTTCATGCATGCTCCTGCACAAACACTGTGGAAATGCAAATGAATAAAAGCTCGGAAAAACTTGGTGATGCTGAGAAGAAAAGCTTAAAGGCTGCACTTTAGATTAAGATTGATCTTATTTGTGTGGGTTTTTTTTAACCTACAATGAAGACTATGTGTGAGATAATGTGCATTATTGTGTAGTGAGTCATTGCCTTCCCCCTTCTTTTTCATCTCAGCCTGTTGTACAGCACATGGGATTAATTTGCTCTTTAAAGGGCTCTCGGATAAAAACTAATTATGCATCAACCACTTAGTAATTCCCCGTGAGCTCCATTGTGTGTGTGTTTACATGCAAGCTCGATCGCAGTGTCAGGCTCTCTCTCTGTTTACATTTACCCGGCAAATTCTTGAAAGCTTGTTTTCTACATCTCTCCATCATCATTACACCTCTCTTCACCTCCTTTCCTCTCCTTATGTCTCGCATGCTTTGCTTTCTCCGTCTACACTTTGAACTCAGCCTCTCTTTCATCTCTATCCACAACATCCCCACCCTCCGCTTCACAGCCACCGTAGATACCACCACTGCCAGCCCCCCGCTGTGAATTTCGGAGACTGTTTTTTCTGAATTTTAATATAATTTTAAATGTAAATAAACTACACAAGGAGCCTGGGGATGAATGAGCAACAGCAGCTTTTGTTTTTCACATTTTATTTTTTTGTGAGTGCATAGTTTAGCTTCTAAACCGCAAATGTACATAATGACCCAGTAACCCAGAGAAAATAGAGTACAGCATTTGGAAAGAGTGTAACGGATTGTCCATCAAGTCGGATCTGAAAAGCTGCCTAACACACAACAACGTTTACCCCGCATGAAGTCATCTTAAAAGCAATCTCAGCACCTCTCATTGATAATAAATGAGAAAGCCCCCTTTTACCCCTTCTATCAGTATTCATACCTGTCACTCATGACCATGGAGCTGACTTCTAATAGCCTCTCTCTGATCGTGAAGGGCATACAGCACAGGAACAATAGAAATGTCCTACAGTGAAAAATAGATAATGAGTTGAGTGTTGCAACACACATAATACAAAACACACAAATTGTAGATTGTTAATTCCTTCATCACCAGTAGGTCATGCGGGGAGGAAGTGTCTTATTTGTAGCGAAGAGCCTCATTAAGAAAGGCAGCGAGATTTATGGAGGAACATTAGAGAGAGGAAGGTGGGCCAGCAGAAATAGATGGAAATAGAGGAGTGCGAATTGCTATCTCGAGGGAAGGGACAGAGCAGACAGAAGTGCTGAGGCAGCATGGCAAAATAAATGCAGAGCCTGGAGAAAACTGGAGAGAGAAGAAGCAGGAGAGGACATGGCTTTAGATGCAGAGAACAGAAAGGAATTGGATGCTATGGAAAAACACGAAAGGTAGACCCCAAGGGATGGAGATGCAGTTGCTGTAGGAGTATGTGGGAGAACCAATGTGGGAAAGAAAAAAAAGTGTGGGGAACAGGAGCCCAATGTGGCAAGAAAGTTTTTGTGCTTGGCTGCACAGGGGAACATTGATTTGACATGCAATTACTGGAAGGGGACAAGATTTGAAAGAGGGAGTGGGCGCATGAAGCAGAGTGGTAAAGATGTGGCGAGTCGCAGACAGCCAAGGTCAGTGACTGTGTACAACATGAATGAAATTATACCAAGGCTGTCTGGCTCAGCAACATGGATATGCACACATCTTCATTTTGCTGTCTCTCATATGGAATGACACCAAGAAAATTAAATTCATCTACATGTGATGTAAATGCCTTTAAATTAATGGTATTTTAGATCGAAATTTACAAACGTGTGATGTACTGGCTCTATGAGGCCCCAGTTGTTGAAGCAATGATAATATTCTGATCCTTAGCCACGGACTGCATAAAAAAGATGAACACTGTGACAGCAACCTGTGTTTGTCATCTTGGAGTGTCTTGAAATGCGACATAATGAGCAAGGGGGTGATCTGACTCATAAACCAACAATCTATTAGTGCCAGCGGAGGCTTGCTGGTTAGCTTAATTAGTATAGGTTCATCAGAAACCCAGCTTTAGTCTCCCATTTGACTTTAATTGAGGCCATAATATATAAAGCCAAAATCACTGTATTCAGACTTGAAAATAGCAATCATGACCACAAACTGAAAATGAAGCTAAACACCTAAAACAACTATTCAGTCCTGCTTCTGGACCAAAAGGCCAGCAGTTTTTAGTTTTCACAACTGCACTAGTAATAATATGCCAGAACTGAAATACACTTATGTTTTTAGTTTTTCTCGCAGGGTAAATGGTTTGTCCTTATAAATTGCTAGCATTCTGCTAATTGGTAACATGACACACTCCCTTGTTGGCATTTTTAATAATTTTCAAAAGATTACTAGATATTAGAAGTATACAGTAAAGCTAAAGTACTTGCAGAAATGCACTTCACTGTAGTATAGTCTGAAGCTATATCCATCTTTTATATACAATACATATTTTATACATAATTTTCAATAGCTAGTTAGCTTAAAGCTATTGTTAGCTTCCATGCTAGCATGCAATACCATGCAAACGTCTAGAGCCATGCTATCTTTATTTATATTTATCTTGTAAAGATCCAGAGTTTCTTGTAGTTTATTTTTTGTTAAATTTATCATTTCATCATGATAATGATCCCAAACACAATGCCAACCAATAAAAGCACACTTAGATAGAAAAACACAATGGGACACTATCCTTGGAGCTCAACATTACTGAAGGAGTACGACTACAGCATTCCATCCAAAGAATCTCTTTGAAGAAGCATGGAGAACTATTCCTGAAGACTGCTTACATTTACTCAGATATACAAAAAATATAGCTTAAGAGAGTTCAGTCTGTGTTGAAGAATAAAAGTGGTCAGACTAAATGGTGACTTTCAGTCTCATTAGAAGTGTGCAAATTATGTTTTGCCTCATATACTGTATTTTAATACAAGCATCTTCCAATAAATCCTGCAGCTATTTCAATTTTCCTACCAAACAAAGAAATGAGGAGTGACTTAAGAATTTTACACAGTACTATAATTGTAAATTAGAAATAAACCACTGAGTATAATGTTAACTATAATTAGTTGTTCGTCAACTAAAATATTGAAGAAATTAGGGCTATTGTTATAACAAAAGAGTACTGAAATCACATGTTGTGGGAAAGCAGAATGTATAAAATACATAACATTTCATTCTGTGGTGGTAGTCAAGCCAGTTTAGCCTGAATACTGAATAAATCTTTCTCCCTTAGGTTTGTGCAAAGCACTGCTTGGTATGATAAGGATTGTTTTGCTTTAAGTCACCTTGAAGGCAAAATCCTTGTACTGTTTCATTTTTTCAATAATCTTACATTTTTAATGCCTTCTCTCCGCTTTGTTGTTCGAACAGTACATGGACAGAAAGGAGAAGTTTCAAAAGCCAAAGGATATTAAAACAGTACAAGTGAATCAAAACATACACAAGCAGGAGCAGTATACTGTGGCGTATATTTGGGACTGTTCAAGAGCACAAAAGTATGCTTAATAAAATATCTAAAATACCTATGAAACATAGGTATAAATGTTTTCCTGATCAAAATTCTGAAAGTGTGATTTGCTGGCAGAAAATGATCTGACAAAGGTTTTCAGGAAAGTTCCCACTCTTCTGTAAAAAGAAGGAAAATGAAACTATGTTTTCCAGATTGAAAGATTTATGCAGAGAGGAATCATCTTTATTTTGCACAGACGAAAGATAAAAGTGTTTTGCAGACCAGAATGACTAACGTACTGAGGAAACTCCATTTGATATTTGTCAGTGTTGAAGCTTAATATGCGTTTTTTCTCTGCCATTACCTTTGGTCCTCTCCATTATAAGAAAAAAAAGTTCTCAGTGACCCCTTTCCATTTCCCATCTATTCACAGTTGTAATTACTTTCTAACTTCACCATTTTCCTGCTGTCTTTCTTTCTCTCCACAGAAGGGTCACATAAGCAACATGCTGTGCTCTTTTGATGCTGATGGTCGATTGAAGGTCTCAGTATTCAGCTTTTTGCTCTGCTGCTTGGTGTGATGTGTCGAAGCCTTTTATATAACTTGGTTTTACGCTTCCGTGTCCATGTATGAAGTCTACTAGCTTTGTGACACTGAAGTGTATGTTTTGAGTTTTCTGTTCACTAACTTAGTGTCAGTTTTGCTTTATTTTAGGTATCTGTAGCTGTAGTTTCCCCTCCTTCATTTCCTTCTGTGAACTAACCTTGCCCATTTAATCTAACTGCTGATATGAGTTGCTATCTTCCTCTCCTCCACTTCTTGTCATTCATATCAGCATCTTTATGGTTCAGTTTTTACTAAAATTCAGTCTCTGGTCATTTCTGCTTGCTGTTTATTTTTTGCAGCTGTGGAAAATCTACAGCTTATTTCTTCTTCCTGGAACTATTTTATTTTATTCCTCTTCCTCCTCTCATTTTGCTCTTCCACTATTGAATTGTGATGTTTGTTGTTGTTGTTTTTTTCAGGTGAATGGGAAGGAGTTGACGCGTCTGTCGGGGGATCCCACCCTGGACATACGGGACCCTGTGCTATCCAGCATACTGAGGAGGGGGGCCCGCAGACGGGCGGGCTTAGCAGGAGCTCCTGGAGGCCAAGTGCCAGTGACCATGGGCATGGCCGACTGTGTGGACAGCTGCACCCAAACAGACATCAGCTTCCAGCATATGTTGACTCTGGGCAAGAGCAGCCAGCATCCCTGTGGAGCTCCACCCCCACCCGACCCTCCACCATCCCCTCCTCTGCCTCCACTCCTGGAACCATATCTACTCAATGAACTGTGAGTGGGAGCAGTTTAATTGGATTCTGCAGCATGTCCAACCATCAGACCAGAACTCACCTGCTGTGCTATCCCATGCCATTCTGTTCACACATTTGAAGTCGGTAGCTGTCCCAATTACTCAAATATTTCATGAATTTTCTCATCCTCAGCTTTATAGAGCCTGTGTACTATGACCCCACAGACTACTTCGACATCAACCAGCATGAAGTGGACAGGCAGGATGAGCTGGAATATGAGGTGAGAGCCTATTAGCTACCTCAAAACTCTAGTACAGAAAGCTGATCTCCACTTCCTGTCTGACATTTGTTAACTTTTTTTCTAACTACACCAGGAGGTGGAGTTGTACAAGTCTCGACAGCAGGATAAACTGGGTCTGACAGTGTGTTACAGAACTGATGAGGAGGAGGACCTCGGGATCTATGTAGGCGAGGTGAAGACAGTATCATGAATGTTGAAACTTTATCAGTAGTTCAAAAAAGTAGTTCCCATTTGTTCATAATTCCAGACGTTATCGTTTTAGGTGAACCCCAACAGTATAGCTGCAATGGATGGTCGTATCCGCAAAGGGGATCGAATACTACAGGTAGAGGTTTTCTAAGCTAAGGTTCCTTTTCTATGCCATTACTTTATGTAATATTAATGCCTAAATCTGAAGTCTTAGATAACCCCCTGGACCACATCCTGTGTGCCTCATTTCAAAAGAATTTGCTAATAGCGCCACATTTAAGATTAATTCTTCTTGAATATTATTTCCTATGCTGTTAAACTACAGAGAGGTTTTTTCAGTAGCTTAATAAAGAAACCCATTTTCCTGAACTGTGCACTTTAATTCAATCTAACATTGGCATTAAGGCTCTTACATTATCTGACATTATTCTCTCCTTTCACTGTCAGATAAATGGAGTGGACATCCAGAACAGAGAGGAGGCGGTGGCTATTCTCACCCGAGAGGACAGCACTAATGTATCTCTGCTTCTCGCACGACCCGAGATAGAGGTGAGGAAATTGGAGATGCAGTTTTTAGGGGGAAATGCTACAAAATTCAGTCAAAAATACCCAGCGGAAAATGCACTGTTCTCCCTCTATCTCCCTTTTTGAGCAGCAGGAAATTCGTTCGCTTGGATATAGGTGATACTACAGACATTACATTAACATTTAGTCACAAAAATGAAAGGTAATTTAGACACAAGAACAAATAAAAGAAGAGATAGAAAACAAAAAGGAATAACTTGGCGTTGTGCTTTAGTGTTTCAGGAGGCAGAAAAGCAAAGGGGTGCAAAAACACGATGAGAACACAGATAACATGAAGGGAGAGACAAAGACAAATAGTGCTTGTACTCGCAGTGCTAATGTGGCACCACTTTGTTTCACTCAAGGTCACTCTTCCAGCAGATATGGGGGCACTGTAACACACATCAGACGGCCCTGAATAACATACCTCTGCCAAATTTCTTGTAAAACCACAACACGTGTCGACCCGCTCAAATGGATTTTTCATTGCAAAGCTTCACAAGAACGCGCTTCATACGGAGGCAGGCGAAATATGTGAGAAAGCAAAAAATTTGTATGCAATCTGAGTTTTAGTGCAGATTTAAAAGGCACTCATTAAAATGGTTTAAGCCAAACACACACACACACAAACAGCCTGTCCTCTGTTTAAATGTGTCCTTGTGTTAGAGCACAAGCACTGGCTGTGAAAGGCTGACAAGATTTATATTGCTAAGGCATTGTCCCACATTAGGATTCAAGTGAGAGAGGGAGAATCATCAGAGGGAAATGCACAAGCAAAGATTAAAGAGATCTGTTGCCCTGCGGGAGAAAGAAGGAGAACTGAAGGGGTTTGCCAAAGAATGAGAATGAAGACGAACCTAATCAATAGCTCGCCTCACGGTCTGCGTGCAGTTCACATTCAAATCAAACCAATTAGGCAAAGAGGAGGAGGAGTGAGTTGTTTACTAATTCGAGACCAAGTATTTGAAATATATCTAATTAGCTTTTGAGGGGGTGCCAATCAAGTCTGCAAATTAAACAGATTAGAAAAGACAACAGCTCTTTATGAATTTAAATTCTCTTTAATTTCTAAAGACTGGATCACTCTCATCCACTAATGCTGATACTTACATATCATCAAATCATTTTTCATTTTCTTTTTGGCACCTAGTCCTCTCAGATTTTTTGTTTGTTGTTTTCTGTAGAGACATATTGGTAAATGGAAATCAAATGTATTTTTGAGTGTAAAAATTTTACAGAGCACTGGCTCCATCTAGTGACACAAAAGGACTCAGTTCAGACATACACTGTAGTCGAAATTAAAGCTGCTTTTATCAGTACTGCTAAGATAAAAAATTGGTCCAAATTTCCACAAAAAAATAATCAAATTTTCAAGGTTCTTTTTTTTTCATGTATTTTCAACTCTAAAACACTATTTTAAGGCTAATAATTCAACAGCAAGTTCATAAAGGCAGTAAAAGTTTAGCCGCTGAAGTACACCTTTGGTTGGAGGCCAGATTAAAAGGAGAGTAAGTCTGAACTGGAGTTACGGATCCTGTTTTCCTGTGTCTGTTACCCGTATAAATAAGCAACTGCCTCCTTCACAGTCTACTACCTTTGATGTTGTTAAGCTGCTTTGAACTCACCTTACACTGTCTGTGTAAAATACACACAAATCGACACCCTTGCTATTCTCAAAAGGTTATTCTTTCTAAGATCAAGGGACTGAAACTAAACTGGTCAGGACGTTATGTAAGCTTTATTTAGGCCAGTATTTAAACTTAAATCATTGATCAGACTATTATTATCAGACTTTTTGGTTATTTAAATCTCACACTGAGAACATGTCTCAGCTGAAACTGAAATTATTTTTCTTTTGTAGACATGTGTCAGGTTTCTTTCTTTGTTTTTTACCTTTACTGTATCACATTGATGCCATTTTAATTGTGGCATTCCTCAAGGCTCTATCCTTGGTCCACTTTCCTTTTCACATGCTTCCTTTACACATGCTTTGTCTTAGTCAGATCATTCATAACCGTACCATCACCCACCTCAACTATGCAGTTGACATAGTTAATAACGTTAAATGCTGGCTTATCTCAAAACCCTCTGAAGTTAAATAATGATACATTTGATTTATTAGTGATTGATCTAAACATTTCCACAGTTCTGTCTCACTGTAAGCTTAGTTCATTGATCAAAAATGTAAAGCTGTCTACTTGTAACCTGGGAGGGATTTTTGACAGGTCTGTGTTGATGCTCAAGTAAAAACCATTATACAGTCGTTATATCATTTTTGTCCATTAATGATTTCCACAAGGCTGCATTTTTTCCTGACTTGATTAGTGGAATACTCTTTAGTCACCGAGTCACCAGGTGATTCAGAACGGCATTGCCCAGATTTTAACTGCCATCAAGAAATATGAACATATTATGACCGTATACCTGCTGAATTTCATATTGTATGTAAAAACTTACCATTGACGTTTACGATACCCATTCTTTGATTTGACCAACTTCCTAATGAATAATTTTCCTGTGTTTTTTGTCTCTTCAACAATGAACAACTGCCATCATCAACTGGTGCTGGATACACCTTTTACCTGTTAGAATGACAACCAGCTGGACCCAGATGAGCTGGAGCTGGAGCCATTAGACAATGCTGTCCACCTGGCCAGCTGTCATAGTGTGAAGAACAGCCCTTCTGTTCTGGGTGCAGGACCTGGAGGCTTTGCTGGTGTTCTACCCAGCCACAGTCATTCACTGAGCAGGGATTCCCCCAGTTTGCTTCAGACAGTGCTGAGCAACAGCCAGGAGCTGGACAGTGGGGTGGGTCGTACAGATGAAAGCACACGCTACGAGGAGTCTTCAGAGCATGACCTTCTGGGAGACGACCACACTAGTGCCTCCAATACGAATGCAACCAACACACCAGGCAGCATGCGCAAATTTTTCTCCAGCCGAGGGGAAACTCCACCCTTGCTGCATTCCCAGGACCTCCAGTTTAGCACGGACTCCCTTTTAGGTCTGGAATCTGTTAATGGAGGCGGCTTGGAACAGGGGGAACGTTTGGAAAGGCCCTACAAGGCAGATCCTGTGAGGATGATGATGCCTGGGCTGACTGAGGAGGAGTGTGAGAGATACAAAGAGCTGCTGGAAATCAAGTGTTACTATGAAAAGAACAGTAATGCTCTAACGTTACTGGGAGGTCAGGGGCCAGCACAAGAGGAAGGGGGTGTCTCACTGGATGTGAACAGGAATGAAAGTCTGACACAGCATGAGATGGCTCTCCTAGAAGAGGAACTGCGCCACTTGGAATTCAAGTGTCGCAACATCCTGAGGGCACAGAAAATGCAGCAGCTGAGGGAGCGATGCCTGAAGGCTTGGCCTCTAGAGGAAAAGAATGGGGCAAGTGTAGGGGCTGGAGCAGGAGCTGGACGCTTGGACATTAATGGTACTTTGGTCAGCGAGGAATCCTGTCACCATGCTCTTTCAGATATCAACGAGCTTCCCGAGAGGGAGCGCTCAGATAAAGATAGCACGAGTGCCTACAACACTGGAGGGGAAAGTTGCAGGAGTACCCCTCTTGTCAATGAACAGTACCCTTCACATTCCACACAGAGTCTGGAGGGAGGAGAGTGTCTTCACTCAGCAGGTATGCAGAGTCCAGCGTCCACTCGGCAGAGAGAGAGAGGAACCAGAGGGGACGGAATACAAGCAAACTTGAACCAACCCTATTCTCCCCACGCTCACAGGCGAGGGGCTGAGGCAAAGACTTCCAGCCCTGGTGCAAAGGTTAGGTCCCTGTCCAGAGACGGGGGAACCAGGAGGGGCTCAGATGGAGGAGTGAGACGTAATCCCAAAGCTAACGGAGTGGCTGACAGGGGTGGTGGACGCAGTGCAGAAAACAGCCCTTATTTGTCTCGCCGTCAGACTGAAACACAGCCGCCTCAACGCTACCTGAGCTGCATGCAGCTGAGGTCCCCCTCCACCTCTGAGCAGCTGGGTGGACTAAGAAATGCTCCCAAAGAGGGCATCATAGATAATGGTGGCGATGAAAGCCCAATGAGCCTGGGTAGCACATGCAAAGATGTTGCCCAGGTCCCAGGTGCTGCATCCTTACCCCTGTCTCCTCCACTGCTGCCTGCCTCCCCTCGAATGGAGTGGAAGGTGAAGATTCGCAGCGATGGCACGCGCTACGTGGCCAAGCGGCCTGTGAGGGATCGCCTCCTGAAGGCACGCGCCATGAAGATCAGAGAAGAGCGCAGCGGCATGACAACAGACGACGACGCTGTAAGTGAAATGAAAATGGGACGTTATTGGAGCAAAGAGGAACGCAAGCAGCAGCTGCTGAAGGCCCGAGAGCAGCGGCGGCGCAGAGAGTTCATGATGCAGAGCCGCCTCGACTGTCTGAGAGAGCGTGAGAGGGAGCAGGGAAGCAGCGGAGGAGGACAGCAGGGAACCGAACAACAGCAAGAACCAACTTCCATCCTGGAGTTGTGTCACCGCAGGAGCATGAAGAAGCGGAGTCGCAAAATCCTGGACAATTGGATCACTATACAGGAGCTACTGGCTCATGGAACCAGGTCTGCGGATGGGAAGAAAGTCTACAACCCCCTGCTGTCTGTCACCACAGTCTGAGAAAATAAATGATTAGAGAGTGAGGGCAGAGAGTTAGGAATATAAGAAAGTGCCAAAGTGTTTTACTTTCAGGATGAGCAGCTTCAGTAAACCATGGCACAAATGTTAATCTGCAGAGATGCAGCAACTCAAATTCATGATGGTAAATGACTGTAATGATTACAAAACCTTAGACCTGAGTTCAAAATCCAAAAGGAAAACTGTCACGTTCTGTGTCTAGAAAAACACGCAGTAAAAATGTTGTCGAAATGATCATTCATTGAAGAAATGAACTCGAAGCCCACAAATGCAATGCATTTTAAATACACTGTAGCAGACCTATAGACCTAAAGACACAGAATTAAGTAAACAAAACGATGTCTGCTGTCAGGGATTGAACCACCTGCTGTTTAACAACTAGAAACTATTTTATGATCGAAAGAATGCAGAAAAATCAAAAGTGAAGCCAAGAGCCATGCAGCTGTGAAATAAGATGAGTTAAAGTCACTTCTGTGCCATAAAACTGAACATTTAGTGTCCACAGAGGACTTCTCATTAAGCACACCTTCAAAAGAACATTTTGTGCCAGTTTATGTCGTTACAATTTCCTACATTCTTGAAGTGTTCATGTACAAATGCCTCTTTGTTTGTGTCATAAGAAAGCCAACATCTTCAGCTGATCACAGATGCTTCTTGGTCATGAGGAGCTGAGCGGTGCCTTCCTTTCGGGCAGACTTGACTGTATATAGCACATTTTTCAATGATACAAAAAAAAAAAATCTAGAGGAAAAAATAAACGGTGATGCACAAAGCAGCCTAATTACCATTTTTCCAAAAAGAAACACTGTATCATAAAAGCACATTAATCATTTGATAGCGTTTCATGCAAAACTAGACCAATACATTTTGGTTAGTATGCAGTCTAGTTTATCTTAATGCTGACTGTGATCAAGGCTATTGCAATGCAAAATAAAGTTGGAAAAAAAAAATCCTGTTAATTTGGTCTACTTGAATTGCAATCATAGCCAAGGATGGGACGACTAATTTCCTAACTTATGTAAACTAAAGCTAATTTTTCATCTGGCTTATATGCATGTTTGATATTAAGACCGAAATGTTCTTTTTTCATGTTCTTTAAAATTGAAGGCCTTTAACATAATGTAATTGTGGATGTGTCTTTCTATGACTTTGCTCAAAATCCTAGCATAGAAAAAAGAAAACATGGTGTACTCGTCTGTTCAATATTGTGAAATCCAGTGTCTGTCATTTTACAGTGAAAGCTTTTCTAAATAAATGCTGTGATCATCTTACTAATCATTTGAGAAGTCTGTCCATCCTTATCCTCATCTATCTAAACAACCTTTCATCCAATATATAAATTAAAATGAATATAATAATAATAATAATAATAATAGAAAGCATTGTGTTAATGGAACTAGAGCATTAAGGCGAAACTTTCTCATGTGTTTTAGCATAGTCAGCTTACTGTTCATCATGTTTTAATTCAGTAGTTCAAAAACTGGACCCTTTTCTTATATTACTCACCTCAAGTATGGACCCTTCCGCACATATATGGGAGAATGTTTGTAGGAATGTATGTAGTTCACATGTTTGAACTATAGGCAAAAATAAAGGGTAAATGAATAACGACACGCTAACCTATAAAAATGAGTATTTAGCAGTCGTTTAAATGAACTAATGATGAAGTGAGGAAGCCTGCTCCAAAGTTCAGGTGATAAAGCCTGAAAAGCATGGTTAATAGACCCGGATCAGATGATCGGAGAGAAGGAATGAGCTAT